CGGACTATAAAGGAGCGTCTCGAGATGCTTATTTGGTACTTCCGTCAATGGGACTTCGCGAATCTTCAATAGTAAGCAATTTTATCTCATGGTAACAATTGGGTTTTTAACAGCAGCCACTCTTCCACGTATTCAAAAAGGCTGATTAGTTTGATTTGCCACAAGACAGCGCGGTGAACGCGCTGCCTCAGGGCGATGCGTTTGAAACGCGTTTGGGCTTCCCTGAAGGCTTCAATCGTAGTCCAGCTCCTAGTGAAAGTGGTCAAACAGTTTTTAGATGCGGAAGCATCTTATACTCGCGCCTTGTAGTGCGCCGTCCGCGCCGTCCGCACCGCTTCTCGAACATTGGACAGCTGACGCGCGCGCATGCGCCGTCGCGCCGTCGCCCACTCTTCCACCATCTGTGCATCCCTTCCTCCTCTACACACCGCGCGCGCTTCACTCCTCCACCATCTGTGCACCCTTCCTCCTCTACACACCGCGTTCGACATCTACAATTCTCCTGATTCTCCAGTGGACGCGCATGTGGCGTCGCGCTTCGAGAACATTCAACAGCTGACAGTGCATGCGCCGTCGAGCTGTATATATACTCAAGGTCGGCGCTCGCTCGCTCAGTTGCCGCTCGTCGGTTGGTTTGTACGGCGCGTCGACGTCCAAGGTCGCGGTGAAATGAATTCCAACGAATCCACAAACACAATGATCGACGTCCCTTCGACCAGCGCCGCCCTTTCGCATACGTGTGTACGTGTTCACTCATTTAACACCCCCTCCTACAACCACGTTAACCAATTTAGCCATCGACCCAAGTAAGTCGCAATTTAACACCCCATTTCACAACCACGTTAACCAATTTAGCCATCGACCCAAGTAAGTCGCACTTTAACACCCCGTTAACCAATTATATGCTCCGCATCCTCCTCAATGTTCCCCCGAGGGAAGCTGCGGGCAATTTTTTTTAATGCTCATGCTTCAAACAATAAATGATTCCACAGTTTTTTAAAACAATTTTCTATCTTGCTGCAAGGTAAGAACAATTTCTATTTTCCTTTACCACTAATTCTATGCACCGGTGACGTATAGCGATTGCGTTAACCGAACTATAACAGAACGACGCTTGGCTAAAACTGAAAACGTGCGTTGCGTTCCGGCAACGTTGAGCGTTTGAGCGGAACGGTAGGGGAAGTCACTATCGAGACGGCAGAAAGTGAGCGACTAATGCAACGTGCCACCCCAGAACGACATCGCCCGAAAAGAGTGACATATATGTGAACACTCAAAGAAAACAAGTCGCCCACGTTCGGCGCCGAGCTCGGCACGATGACCCGACACGTGCTTATCTCTCGCGTGTACTTTGCCCCATGAATGGATGCCTGTGCGCACGCCATTTAATGGGGAATCGTGTGCCTTCGGCTTTCACTGCAACAAAAACATTAGTTGCCAGGCCCACAAAGGTCACTTTGTCATGCATAGCACCGTCAGTAGCCTGCAAGGTACCTTCGTTCCAACAGATTTGACATTGAATACTCAAACAACTTCTCTGGGAATCCAGTTAGTTACCCAGAGAAGTTATTTGAGTATTCAATGTCAAACTAACTGGATTCCCAGAGAAGGCAAGCGGGTTAGGGGGAGACAGAAGGTTGGGTGGGCAGATGAGATTAAGAAGTTTGCGAGTATAAATTGGCAGCAGCAAGCACAGGACCGGGTTAACTGGCGAAACATGGAAGAGGCCATTGTCCTGCAGTGGACGTAGTCAGGCTGATGATGATGATGATGATGATGATGACTCAAACAACTACGCGCCGTAAAAAGGCAAACTACACCTTGCAGATAAAAAAGTCAAGCTATCATCTGATCAGAAGTTCTGATACACCAAAAAATGTTATATAAAACGCTGTTTGTAAAACCAGTACAAGCTAACTGAACTGAACACCGGAATAAAAAGTCGTTCGTTGTAGTAGAAGGACAGTCAATATATGTCGAATGAACCGTTAAATATTGTTAAATCTTTTCGGGTGAAGGCTCAAGTGACTGTGGCACCCTAGTGAATATTGCTACCAAGACTGTTGGCCTGTTAGCTACCCATGGGACGGCTTTCAGCTCTCCCATAGCAGAGTACTAGGTACTCAAAATCGTTACCCACTTTTTCAAACACATCTGTGACAATAAATTTTTTCTAAACACGTGTAAAGCTTCAGTGCGAAGCCCAAGGAACGGCTTTCAGCTCTCCCATAGTAAAGTACCTTGTATTCTAAATCATTAAGCACTTTTTCTAAACACAAAGCTTGTTTTCAGGCCTGCCTGGTTTTGGTAGGTTTATGTTTGTTTAGTACTCGCACAAATATCTTGAAACTACCATGTAAATACGTAACATATAGATCTACGCTTCATTTGTGTGTTATTCGTTTACCATGTGATGTACACATGTAAACATATCTTTTTGTAACAATTTTTGGTGTGTCTGTGTATGTTGCATTCTGCGCACACATGTAAACATCTCTTCTTGTAAGAATTTTCACTGTGTCTGTGGAGGTTGTGTTCCGTCGCGATGTTGTGTCGGATTGTAATTGATGGTCGGTGTTGGTGAGAATAAATTTCTGTAAACGGAATAGAACTGGGTAATATAGTAAACGTCCGCTTAGTAAACAAGTGGTTGTCTTTTTATTCCTTCTCTACCGCAAGAACATTTTGGCTATCACTTGATAAGTGTTCACAGTTACGTAATCAGGACACTTGAACTTGAGTCATGCCACGCGCTATCATTGCCACCGTCTATAAAATGAACAAAATGTCATTGCTGATTTGATTGATTTGGGAGGTTTAACGTCCCAAAACCACCATTTGATTATGAGAGACGCCGTAGTGGAGGGCTCCGGAAATTTTGACCACCTGGGGTTCTTTAACGTGCACCCAAATCTGAGTACACGGGCCTACAACATTTCCGCCTCCATCGGAAATGCAGCCGCCGCAGCCGGGAATCGAACCCGCGACCTACGGGTCAGCAGCCGAGTACCTTAGCCACTAGACCACCGCGGCGGGGCTGTCCATTGCTGCGAACATTAATGAAGCTGTACGGACAAATCACGTCATCTTAAACATGTTTTAAAGAAAACGCCGACTTTCTGCAATTCATGCAAGTCCTGCAGTCAACCTTCAAAATCAAAGTTTGTTGTACACCCTATCAGAAAGTTCCCTACAAATTTGCCGCACATATCTCTGTTTCTAGGTTCATTCAGTTAACATTCATCTCCAACACGTCAGTGTGGCTTACGCTGCTGCTTAGTAGCTTCAGCCGCACTTGTGTCTATTATTTACAGCTTTCGCCTTTCTAAAACTCACTCATGTTTTAGCCACGCAACGGAAAGTATTACCTGCGCGCGTGCGTCATCGTTCCACTTCGAGATAACATGTTCTGAGAAACTAAAATTGGCCAAGTCGCAAAGAAACCCATTAAAAGGTTAAAGATCAATAATACACAAGCCCTAGCCGTACATTTCATGCTCTTCTGAGTTTCACTTTCAAGTTCATCATCATGACCATCGTCATCAGCCTGACTACGCCAAGTGCTGAGGAAAGGCCTCTCTCATGATCCTCCAATCAACTTGGTCTCATGTTTTCTGTTGCCACGTTGTACCTGCGAACTTTTTAATCTCATTTCAGTTTCGAGTTACCTCTAGTGAATTCAGTAGAAATCACTATAAGACGAGCATATTAGAGGCAATTCTGGTCACTTCAGTTCCTGCAGAAAAGTTCAAACAGGAAGCTAGACAATTTCGTCAGTCATTTCTTCATGAGAACCATTATTTTCGGACGCATCTCTAAGCTGCCTCGTCATCCCAAACAGCTGCGATTGTGCTAGTCAGTATGCCAGAAGTTTAGGTGTTGCAGTAAGACGCTAAGTTGGGCCAGTTGGTTGGGATTCATCATGAAGGCTTCTTTCTCTTATGTTTCTTCCCTGTCCTGTGTTTCAAGTGATGCGCTGTTAACAAGTTCACGATGCTTGGCGTTGAATGGAAGAATTTGTTTAGTTTATTCACTTTATGCAAACTGAAAACTAGCTTACAAGGACATAACCTAGTGCATTATCCTTGTCTAATTTCCTGCTCTTAGTGTATTAGCCAAGCAGTTTAAGCTACCAAACTGCTCCGCAGTGTGAGAATATACGGAGTGCTGCACTTCATTTTTCATCTTACCTTGCATATCTCCGGTTCACCTCTTCTTCGGTCTAATCCGCAGAGATTTCTATGAGCTACTTTTGATTTTATCTTGTCCACAGCTTTCACCTAAGAAACCTCGCCATGACCGCCGGGGCCACTTAAACTTTTTCTGCATTCAGAAGCCTACATCCGACAAAATATTCGCTTCCAATTATTTTGTTACCATGCTATACGATAAATAGGAACTTCATGGCACTCCTTTGCCAAGATATCTTAGTGCGAAAATGTGCATCAACCATCATTATCTTTCCTGCTGACCTACTGACACCCCTCTCTATACAGCTTCTCTACATGCCCCCTATCCCTCTCACCTCCCCCCCCCCCAAAAAAAATACAATGAAAGCTCCACACCTGACCGCTACTCCTCTCCTCTAAGAGACAGGTACCTATTCCTGCTGTGTCGTCGTTCACCGCTTGGAAAGAACGCCCGTTACATGCCGGAAAAGACGGGTCCGCATTAAAACCGCGCGTGGCGCATTCCTCGCACCGTGATAGACACCCGCTGCGCTCATAGCGGTGGGTAAGGAAGCGACGGGAGAAGGGCGGAGGGTTGGCATGGCACCTGTCCTCTATGCATCCGGACGCACAAAACAGCAGAGTCTGTCGCTATTGTTGGGACATGCCCGCTGCGCACATGCCGCAAAAAAGATGCAAGAAACAAAGAAAACCGCTCGACTATGATATCGAACGCCAAAGCTGTCATGCATGACGAAACAAACATTCACGGAAAAAAAAAAACGGACCGCGCGGAGGCGCTTTACTTGATCGATAGAAAAAATGACTCACCCTTGAAAGCGTGAAGTCCCCAGAAGCGAGATGACAGCACACACAATCCCGTTGCAGGCGAAGTAGCCTACACGAAGCAGACGTTCTTGGCGCGTACGTCAGAGTTGACAGCCGTCACTCGCTCAAACACTTGGCGGAGACAAAAGCCGGCGGAGATGGTTGGACCCAGAAGTGTTGCTTGAAACGACGACGCTTTCTTCTGGCGTTGCTCTTTCTGAGACGGTTGTTTCGGATCTGAGATGCAGAATTACCGCGCGCTACCGTTCGTGCCGCACCAGTCGCGTTGGGGATGACATCAGCCGGTGACGGTAAGGCCGCCCCCCAACTTGCCTCTAGAAAATTCTAAACTGCGCAGCACAGCCGGGTTACGCGAACACCGGTCCACAGAAACTTTCGCAAAGGTGTTCCGCACCCACAACACTACGCCAAAATAGGAGCGGCGCACCACGGGACTACGAGAAGAGCGACAAAAAAAAGTGGAGTGCTTCAATTTTGCGCCCACGTCAGGTAGGAGCAGCGGGAAGCGCGTACAGCTACACAGGACTACGCAGCGGAGTGGTCGCCTACGAAGCGATACGGTTCTGTTGTCGTCTGCTAACGCCGACGGGGCCTGGCGAGCGTTGGCGGAACGCCGCTACCGCTACATTAACACGTGACCTCACGTGACGTCACTGCGGCGTCACGGATCTCGTGGGCGTGACGTCAGAACTTGTCATCGCTCTAGCGGTGTTCCGGGGCGAGGCCGGTGGCCTTGCGCTTGCTTTTCTGGATATGTTTCGACGCGCCCCCAGTGGCATCTCTCCGCCACCACTGGCACATTCGACGGCACGCATTAGCAAGGTTGTCTTTTTTTTTTTTCGTGGTGTGGTGTTGTTTACATTGGTAGTTTTTTTTTCATGATGAAAAGCTTCCTTTTTTTCTAGCCATTTCTGGTCGGGTCAAGGCCTCTCCTCGAGCACCACTCTTTCGCAAGCGCGCAAACATCGCTCTCGGAGGCGTTAAGATAAACACATTGATCGGGGTTTTCTTCTCGAACGCATCTTTTCGGCATATTCCAGATGCACCAGGCGTTTTGCCAAACCAGGGTGCCTCGCATGACTCACGTAGAGGACATTATTCTATGTTTTTCATTATTTATTATTCTATCACTACGACCTACTTTATACAACATATCTTCAATTGCTTTATGTAATAGAAATATTGTAGATTTTTCGCTGCAGTGCTCTCTCAAATAAATTTTGTCTGGTCTCCCCACGTAACACTCCTAGATGGAAGCCGTGAGGCTTTTGTAAGTTAATAAAGTAGTATTTTTGTTCTGTTCACCTTGATGTAGGCACGCGTATAACTAAATAGGCAGAATAGAAAAAACATATTCTTCATTCTCAAGCTCTCAGTGATCTCATCGCTTTGTGCTCTTGGTGATTCAAAAAGAAATAAACCGATATTTTTGTGCTTCCTGTGGTATGAAAGTCGCATTTTATACTAAGACCGTTCAATTATATTCTGTGCACGGTGTGCTACTACGTCTATTACTCCTATGAAAGCTCCGTCCCATAAAACATTTCCTCGCCTGATATGCGCTGCATTAAATTCGTGACAATCATATTCAAAGAAAAGCGGCGCACAAAAAAGACGGAGACAAAGAAGAGATATGCGCTGTGTGTGGTTCTCTTCTTTGTCTCCGTCTTTTTTGTGCGCCGCTTTTCTTTGAATATTAATATACACCAACTCGCCCAACTTTCTATTCGTGACAATCAGTCTCATGCTGCTGGTTCGCACATTCCCCCGCCCCACGGCAAAAAGATTAGATCAAACTTCAAAAAGTCAAGCTGAGGTATACTTTCGGAAGAATGTTACTAGCAATATTCGATTGGAGATATCAATAAAAAGTTGCAGTGAAAAACATAAAAACATTTACTCTGACATTTCACAAGGAATTCATTTTTCCATGCCTGGTTGAATCGTCAGAAAAGTTTGTGTTTCACTGATGCTTTTTTTTTTCACGTCCTCAGTCAAATAGCGTAAATAATTCTTCAGCAGTTATGCATACATGCTCTCGTGACTCGTATTCTGCAGTGTTCTCATAAGTAAGCTTCCGTACGTCGTCACGGCACCTTGTGTCCAAAACTATGCCCCTGTAGCACACTATCAAAGAAAACTTTTGCAGAACAGCCACTTGGGCTAGTTGGTCGTGGTTCAATATGGAAGATGAGGAGGGTTGCAGTATGTAACACGGACTGAAGGAGAGAAGAACAATACCAGCGCACACTCGCAACTGAAAGTTTATTGAAGGTGCAACACATATATAGCTTACAAAAATTGTCACGTGGCACAAGTTTTCTTACCTAAAAATAAAAAAAAGCGGAAAAACCATCGCCATTTTGCAAAAAGTTCTAAATACATATCTATCTGCGAAACATATATTTTTATGGGCAACACGTATATGGCCTACAATTCTTGCAAGCTGCCCCGCCGCGGTGGTCTAGTGGCTAAGGTACTCGGCTGCTGACCCGCAGGGCGCGGGTTCGAATCCCGGCTGCGGCGGCTGCATTTCCGATGGAGGCGGAAATGTTGTAGGCCCGTGTGCTCAGATTTGGGTGCACGTTAAAGAACCCCAGGTGGTCTAAATTTCCAGAGCCCTCCACTACGGCGTCTCTCATAATCATATAGTGGTTTTGGGACGTTAAACCCCACATATCAATCAATCAATCAACAATTCTTGCAAGCTATATATGTGTTGCACATAAATATATTTGCAACACATGTATAGCTTACAACGTTTGCAAGCTATATATGTGTTGCAACTTCATTAAAGTTTCAGTTGGAGTGTGCACTTGTGCTGTTCTTCTCTCCATTAGTCCATGTTACACACTGCGCCCCAGTTCCATCTTTCTTAAAAAATTTGCTCTAATGTATAGTGCGTTCACTGCGCATAACTTTGCAGCGTATCATGTTTTTTCGATGCAGGTCAGATGAAACTTCGGGATAGTAAACAGCGTCTGTTACATTCAACAGCTATGTGTATGCCCATAAAGAAGTCACTTGCCCTAAACCACAAGATTATGTAACTTGGTTACAGATCAGTACATCGTTAGGAAAATCAACTCAAATGTAAAGACGCTGAAGAAGCACTTCGACAAATCAGAAGTTGTTCTACATTGCAGTTCCACATTTTGCAAAGGTGACTGGCGCAGTTCGGCAGACATGAAATATCTTATTTTAAGGTGAAATTAATGATGCTCAGACGCGCATAGGCTTGCAGACTTTGTTTCTTCTTCAAGAAATATTTTCAGGAACAAGATATGAGTAATATTCAGAAATATATGCACATAGCTCCATTGGACTGGTATTAGATCGCATTGTCAAGTCACGATTATGACTAGCTGGGAATATATGAGTCGATACTTATCGGGCGGTATCTTTAAACCAGCACTGCAATATCGCACTATAATATAAAAACGTGTAGACAGATATTGGGACCCACAACCTAAATGGGTTTGCTGCCTTCCCTCCGCCATGTTCAACGTAAAACGAATGTATAACGACATGACGGAAAGCAAATATTATTTTAAGGCTTCTCGATAGCCCCGTTGCATCCCATCATAGCAGGTTGAAAGCCACGTTGCATCATTGCTCAATGCTCACACCACATAACAAAATTCTACATCGTAACATGGCGACTTGAAGACCACCGTAAACATCCCATCAAGGGTAATGACACTCATTGGCCAACAGTATTTCTTGCATAAAATAAAGCCATATATTATCATAATCAGAAAAAAATATCTCGCTACATATCTGACTTTCTAGTCATTACACAAACAAACATACACTGTCGACGCATTCACTGAAGGGGTCTGCTTCCAACAATAAAGACACTTGTTGAAGCCACAACGTGAACTCGCGACCTATGAACATGTGGGGTGTTTCAATTGCACTATACACTGCCATAAAATTTCTGTTCCTCAGTGCATATCGCCTCTAGCGAAGAATAAGAAACTACCCAAGCTTGGCTGTCGCTAATGCATGGTGAGAGAGAAAGCTAGGGACCTTCAGTAAGTGCATCGGTGTCATCCGTGCATTTGCCTTGGAGCGGGCTTACACAGCTGCGACACGCGCAGCAGTGGCCTCCAAGGTTCAATGAACTGAAACAAGCCAGCAGTTTTTGTCGGTCGCCCCGTCGCCGAGGGCAGACCTCCTGCGAAGGCGAAGTCGAGGTGTCAGCACAACGCGCTCCGATACACAGCGCTTTGGTGCTCATCCGAGAGACGTGCCTGGCGGCTGGACAGTTTTATCGCACGCAGCGATCTGTCGTTATCTCGTGATGTCAAGGACCCTGCGGCGTGTTTAAGGCCACGGCCTTAACCATAGATTTCCCTACAGTATTTACTAGAGAGAACTCTCACGCTGCGATCGTTCGGCCACCGTGGACATGATGAGTAGTAGCATGGATTAGATCTAATATCTGTGGATTAGATCTAATAACACACTTGCGGCTTTGTTTATTGTTGTGTTTAGGCGTTTGTACTTGACAAAAACATGAATCGTTTTGAACGTTGTGACCATGATTGAGTTAGCGGGCCTCTAAACGTCAAGCTAGTAAAGTAGAACTGCTGAATGTACGCTTCCTGGACATAGTCTTATATCAAAGCAGCTTCACGCCACATGCTGTTTTTGTAGACACAATATATTTTTTTTTCACTATAAGGTATTATTATAGGACACTCTGTAGCCTCAACGATGTGCAGCTGGCCAGAAATGTTGGATTGTACGTTAGTACACATAGCATTTGGCTAGCAGGTACAAAGTGAAAAGCACCAGGAAGAACAAGAATGGGACCCATGGAACAGCCCACTTCAGTGCGTGACTGAACTGCTACTTGCGGAATCGCATCATCTGTTGACATTAGTGCGATGTATGGGCGCAAAAATCGATGTAAAAGCATGGACACATGACGTGTAGGGGCGCAAAATCTGCATTACAAATGCCAGCTATCAACGGAATGGTCACTTTAGCCGTAAGAAGTTCAAGAGAAAAGACAGGGAGGTTAGCCAGTTCTCAGACGGCAAAATTGGCATATAACTTATCAGCGCAATTACTTCAGCCAATACTCGGCGTTTCTTTACGTTTGCCTTTACTTTTGACCCGGTATGCACAGTCGGCTTTTCATACGAAAAGCTAGCCGCACCTTCCACTGTTGTAATGGCACACTGATTCGTTGTACTAGTCGAACAATAGCTTCCTTGCTAGGTGCTCGGGTTATTTCGCTGCGATGTTTCGTGAAGCAATAAAATACTCACACCATTCATTCTGTCCAGTCCAGGTTAGCCCGCCTAATGGCCACGCACTCACTGATCATTGCAAAGTGTGATCAAAGAATAGTTAGACAACACAGACAAATCGAACAGTATCCACAAGAACAGCACTAGGCCAATCACGTATCGTCAGTGACGTCTTCAGATTGTTGGATCCTATCGGTATGTGGCAGGAGCTCCGCCTTGAGTGCAAATGTGGCAGAATTCAACGATAAGGTGAGGTTTGATTGTGTTCAGCGTAGCATCACTGAAAAGATTTTTTTAGGCCGAGGCCAGAATAGAAAGAATGCTTGCGCACTGCCGCG